TCTCTCTCTCTCTCTCTCAGTCTCTTCCCTCACACATGCAGTTCGGGCTCACCGCAACCTTGGCGATGGTATGTGGAGATACCTCGCCTGAAGGACTGTGGACTGTGTTTTTTCTCCCCAAGTTTTACAGCAGTGCGCACCATGACAGGATCGGCCGCAGTGGGTGCAGTCAATGCGGGCTGGTGCCCGACGCGGAAGTATGCTTGCGACAAGATGCGGCACGGTTGCTAGCAGAGTTTGCTAACCTCATTGAGTGCCTGAGTGCCTGGCTCGAGTTGCTATCCCTTATAGAAAAGGCGTCGGTGAGACCGTGCTGTAGACCTCTTGTTTTCATCACGCACCATGGAAGAACCAATGTCTCCAGTGTGGCGACGCCTGGGGGCCGCGACGTCTGACTTTCCAAGCCTGCCCAGCCCTGGGACTCCTGCCCGTCCCACAGCAGACATTGGGGGCATTCCATTGCCTCTGCTGCACCCTCTGCTGCCAGGCTTCCTCCGTCCATCTGAGGCGTTGCGACTGTCCCGGGCTGGCCGCGTGTGGCGATGCTGCCTGCCCCATTGGTGGTTTTGGCCATGGCCGCAGATGCTGCAGATACGCAGCCTGACAGGCTCCTTGTCGCTCTTGTCTCGAGCCCGCTTCTTTACCCATGAATGCTTCGGATCTTGCGCCAGGACCGCGTCTCCCGGCTCCCCCTGCCTCCACAGCCTTCCTGGGCCTTCCTGGAGCTGCAGGCCACCCATGAAAGGCTTGTGCAGCTAGGCTGTCGTTCTTCTCCGCAGGCGCGTGTGGAGATGCCACCTGAGGAGGACCGGGCTATGCTCTTCCTGGTCGGGGAAACTGTGTGTGTGTGTGTGTGGGTGGTTGGGAAACTGTGTGTGTGTGTGGGTGGTTGTGTCAGGAGGCCATGCCGATCATGGTTGACAGCTCCAGCGAGTCTGAGGGCGACAGCGAGGAGCGAGAAGAGGGCCCTTCGGGGTGCCGCCCTGCAGTTACCTACTGTTTTGAACATGTCTGCGATCCCTTGGGACATGATGTTGGTGGAGGCGTTGTCCCAGGCGAATGCATCAACAGAGTTCCATGCCGCCTTGAGGAAAGTAGGTCTCACGGAAAAGCGCCTCTTTCCAGCCGGCGTCAGCTGGGACAAGTCCAGGTCCTTGTACAGGTTGCAGTACCCCAGGCAAGAATGGATCCCGCACGCTCAGCCCAAATGTTGACCTTGACATTGGCTTCTGCAGTCTACGATGTTCTCGCTGAGACGGGAAAGATGAAGATACCGGTGCAGAGAGGATCGGGGCCCGTTTTCTTTTACAAGCGAACGCAGAAGCACACGTTCCAAATCGGAGGGCGCAACAACCGCCGAAGTGGAGGCTATTACGATACGGAAGCAGAGGCGCTGGCCGCCGCGAAGCGGGCTGGGAGGCTCTGAACAGACCAGTCCTCGTGGGGGGGGGCCCTGGGAGTGCTACAAAAACGGCCCGCAAATGCCACCTGCGTGTGCTCCATGCACTGTTTAACTGAACTGTCGGCGCTGTTTCGGCTTCATTCACTGTGGAAAGCCTTAGAGCTCCTCAGCCTGTGATGTCTCCTCGGCGCCCCTTTGCGGCGAGGGCTGCGGACTTGCAAAGAGCAACTCTCCGTGCTGCAAGCGAGAACTCGACCTAGAAGCTCGGCAGGATGCATGGTTGCCCACGTCCTTGTCCTTGCCTATCTCCTGTCCCCGGCGAGCCCCGCTACGTTGCCTTCGCATCAGCCTCGGGGAGGTTGGCGGCACGACAAGCCACTTGGAGTGGTTCCACTTGTCCGAGCCTATTACTGGGGAGTCAAGAACAGGACTGCTTATGCCATCAAGGCCACGATGGCTCTCAAAGTGTAGCCTGTGTGTGTGTGTGCGCGTGTCTGTCTGTCTGTCTGTCTGTCTGTCTGTCTGTCTCTCTCTCTCTCTCTCTCTCTCTCTCTCTCTCTCTTTTCTCGGTCTTCCTTGGCCTGTAAAAACCTGTCGCAGGTCCATGGCTGGCTAGAACTTTGCCGCAAACACCTCGAGCAGGAGAATCCGCGGCGCCTGAATGGGCCTGAAGGAGCTCCTGTGCGAGATAGCTCGCAGCGTAGATAGCAAACACACAGGCACAAAGGCGGCCGAGGACAGCGACTTGTCAGCACAGTTCAGCGCGCACGCTCGCAGTGTGGACGTCTCTTCTGCCAAGCATCCGAGGCGAAGTGTCTGATGAGTGGGACTGAAGGCCTAGCGCGCATGGCTTGTGGGGGTGCACAAGTCATGTGCCAAAGAACAGACACCAGAGGGATCCGCAGAGTGTCAAAAAAATTGAGCCACCATGCCGGGGTCTAACATACCAGCCGATCTCAACACGGGAAGCCCTCGGGATTTGTTAATTAGACCCACCTGTTGGGGTTTGTTGTCGTGACTGGGGGGAGACCTTAGAGTAGCTGAGGGGATGTCTTTGGTTATCTTGAGCGAGTGTGTGGGGTGAGGTGAGGGAGTCTGTGCTTTTGACTCGCTTTCCCCCGAATGGGACACCCTCTCATTGTTAGATCATAGCTCGTTCAGGAGCACGTTGTCCTCGATCCTTCGCCCCGGCACGGTGTGGTGTGGGCAGCGGGGCTGCCTGGACATGAGAGGAGTCAAAGAACCCCAACGCTTGAGTATTTCAGGGTGGGTCGCGCGAATTTGCTAGTTTTGGGCATAGCTTGGTCTTGTAGGGGTTGAGAAGTCGTGTCGGGAGATGTTGGGGATCCAGCATGACACTGGTCCTCTACAACCTAAATTGCTCGGAACTATATGGATTCAGCGAGGGGCTGCTCTCTGCAAGGCTGCCAAGCACGCCGGTCTTGAGTTTAGAAGTCTTCCGAAGAAAAGCGTAGGCAAGTCCTGAAGAGCCTAGAAGCCTTGAGCGCCAAACACTTGCATTGCTGTGAAATGCAAGTTTACATGGTTGCGGCCTAGAAGTCTCCACTGCATCTTCACGCGCCGGCACACAAGCTTGGAAGAAGCTTGAGACATATTCACCCGGGTCAGGTCCCAGGAGGCTTCAAAGAGGCCCCCGAGCGAACAAGCACTCAGAGAACATAGGCCGGGCGCAGCGAGGCCTGGAGGGGCCCAGAGGCGAGCCAAGGCGAATTCGGTTCCAGGAGATCTTTTTGTCATTCGAGAATAACTTAAAGGGCTTCAGCACCCAAGCTTGCACCTGTCTGTTCTTCAGGTTTTGCAACTGCCTCCGTGGAGGAGCGAGTTATCAACTCCGTGAAGAAGCGATCCGGACCGAAAGAGATTCGCTCGCTGGGGTTCCCTCCAAGCTTCCGGGGATCGCACCTGAACCATCCGACCCCGCTCCCTTTTAGGAGTTCGAGCCACATGTCACACCGAAGTAGATTCTTGGCCGATGAGTGGCATCAGCCTTTCACAAGCTAGCACCACTACCGCTGGAGTCAAGACGTGCGACGTGTTCTGCTAGCAAGATGGGGCATGATCCGCTCCGAAGGAGGGAGCTGGGGGACGATCATGTATTTAGAATTTGGACTAAATGTCTTGTGACTAACGGCTTACCGATCTTGCACTGCAGCTTGCTTCCGAGGTACATGAAGCTGCGCGTGGAGGACCTGTGTTTCGGGACGGGCTTAGGACACCCGCACCTTTGATTCAAGTTTCAATCCCTGACCACGAACGCGCACATGTGCTTTACAGAGATCTGTGGAGTAGACTCGTTTAGACCTCGTACAAGCCGAGACTCAGCAGAGTCCGAGCTTTGAAATCCCAAAAGCTCCGACGTCGGTGCCGTGAAGATCACAAGCTCTGATACACCTGTAATCCCCACATCCATGCTGGAAGATCCTCAAATTGTCAACAGGAGTATAACTATTTTGGGAGTTGTGTTTTGGAGTTGTCCTTTGTTGCTGGCCTTGCACCCCCTTCAACCCTAAGCCCTAACCGGACCGAAGCCCACCCAAAAGACAAACAACGAAATAATACCAAATTAGTGCCGTAGCCATTCTCAACTCCCTATACCCCTCAAGCTTAGTATCCCAAAAAAACCTTAAGCCTTTACTTGCACATACCCGAGCGCAATGTCCCAGGACCTGCGGCTGGAGACCGAAGCTAGGTCGACTTGGGAGAAGCTTCCGTCTTTTCTTCTTGACCTTCTGGTCTTAGGGCTTTAAGGCTTTAGGTCGTGGAGTTAGGGTCTGAGCTAGGGGCTTAGGGCTTACAACCGAGAAGGTAGCATCAAAACGGCTTTCCGTCTTGACCTCAAGACGTGAACAAGACAACTGCTGCTGCCCGAATCTGGAGCCCTAAAGCCTACATGCCTTCCAACAGCTAAGTAAGCTCCGAATCCTTCGAAGGAGTTCGGCTAAGAAGCCCAAAGCCGCAAATTTCAAAGACCGAAATCATGATTCTAAACCCTGAAGCCCAGGAGAACAAATCTGCCCAGCAGAGCGAAGCCCTCAAGGTGCTGGAAGAAACAGATGCTTGGGCTTTAGGTTTTAGGGGTCTAGCGGGGCATGCTGCAGTGGTGTGAGAGCTGCCTGGTGGGGCGTCGGCTCTTGGACTCCCTGCAGCCAGGAACAAGAAGCACACCACCAAACACCGAAATCAACACTCGGGGAGATGGCGGGATACCTCTGGACTAGATTCCTAGTCCTCGCCCCTCCTTTTCTTGTTTTCTTTCCCTGTACGCCAAGTGCTTGTCATGCCTGCATAGCTCTTTTCCCCAGGAAGTTTCCCTTGACACGAAGTGGGAGGATCTGAAGTTCGACGATCTGGACAAGGCCACGTTTCAACGAAACCTGAACAGCCCTTGTGTGATGTGAGCGGCTTAGGCATCGGAACCAAGTGCGCAACAAAAAAACGTGCCCTACCTTCTCTGTGCCTTCAGAGCCTGTCGAAGCTCGCTACCACACCCCGTCAGACTTTTTCTTCCGACCCTACTCCACGGTTCTTCTTGTGTTTTTTCTATCGGTATCCTAAACATGATATCCCCCAACTCTTCAACCGATCAGTCGAAATACGACCATCGCCTGCAACTGGCTGGAAGGTGGAGGTGCTCTTAGAGGTTGAGGAGGAGTTCCTGGGCGGACTCGGGGCTTGCTGATATCCGAGAGTAGCCTGTCGCCAGAGAGGTTTGAGAGTATGTCCCATGGGACCTCCAGGTTCGAGCACGTCATTTCCGATGCCGATTCGGACGCCATTTCCTCCGTCCAGGCGCGGTTATCTTCAGCATAGTCTCCTAAGGAAGCCGAAATCCTGAGGACCTTAAGCCGCTTGAGCCCCGGAAGTTTCGTCTTCCGGAGCCTTGAAGCATTAAGATCTGTGACCCCTTCTAGCACTTCATATGATTTCCGATCACATCCTCGTCGACTGGGCGTTCCTAGTTTTTGGGAGGGGCTTTCCAACCCTGGCTTCAATACCGGTTTTTGTAACGTTTCTTGTTGCGTGCCGTGCCTTTGCGCTCTCTTCGGAGACTAAAGGGTGAAGTAGGTGGGACTTGACGAGTTGTAGCTGTTTGGGAGACACTGCCGCTCTTGTTTTGAGACGTGTTTCAATGTTGCAGATTCCAAATCCTTGCCCTGCCACTTTCGCTGGCACAGGGGGTGATCGATTACCTCCAGAAGGCTCAGGTCAAGTGAGCCGATGCAAAGAGCGGTGCTCGCCGGGCTTATGCCTCTGCCTGTTCACAAAAAGTGGAAGGCGAACAACACGTGGAGCTTAGGGACGTTAGGGACGCCATGGGCATAAGCAGCACCACCAGCACCGATGCCGCACCGTAGTCGTAGTCGTCCTTGGAAGGCTTCTTGAGAGGTTGCCTTTTTCCATCCCCTTCGGGGTTGATGCATGAGGCCAGACCGGTGTGTTCGGCATGATCTGCGCATCACCAAGCGGCAGACAAGCCTGAACTTTGAGCATGAAAACCAGGTGCCGGAGTTCAAAACCACGTGTTCTAAGTCGCCTGCCGCAGATGCCTTGAGCAAATCTGAAGGCCAGAAGAGACGAAAGCACAGCTGTGAAATTTCCTCCTAGATCCTCTTCGCCAAGACTCTGAGCCACTGAAAATCCGCCCGAAGCATCCCCTACGCTTGTGACAGAAGTCTCGCAAAAAATCTTCAGTCTCCGGGCTTCACCTCTGGATCCTCAACTCGAGAAGTAGATCCGCTTCAAGCATCAAGCCGACGGCCAGGGATGTCATATGAAAACACAGCCCATGCCACAAGGTCCTCGGAGGACGATGGCCTCTACAGCCCCAAGGACACCACCAGGCGACACGGCGCAGTCCATCAGATCAGTCGTGTCGGCAGCGGCGGTGTAGCAATGTGACTCGGGACGGGCCGAGGTATTATATGGAACGATGAGTTGGGCGTGAGCTCGACGGTAATCGCCCGAACATCTCTACCGGGGTCGAGCAGCTGCCTTCTAAAACCATTCATCGCAAGACCAAACAGGAAAAAAGACATGATTGACATCCGTGAATGAATACAGATTTCCGGCTTTGCAGAGATGCGGCGAAACCAAGCAAACTTGCCAAGCCCAAACGACCGTGAAGTAGCTCGTTGGAGGCTTATCTTTTTCTGGTGCCTGGTATGGCTGGCGGTGTGCCGAACCTGGATGTTCGGATGCTCTTTGAGGTTTGGGGGGGGGGGGGGGAGTTGAAAACGAGCTGCATTTGGGACTTCGGCTTACTTCTGTGTTTGGGCTCTACGGCCGCCACCCGAACGACAATCTAGGTTTCGGGGTACAGCCTGCTTCGTGATAATCTCCGGAGGTTTTGTTCAGAGATTGTGTTCAGGATGTGGCCGTTTGAAAAATCGAAGTTAGATTCCGTGTACAGGATTCATGGGCCGGGTCATCACGCAGACTCTACAGGTTCAACTTCTTCGGATGCTGTCCGCTTCTCCTCCTTTGATCCTCGTGCTGCTCTTGTTCTGTCAGCGGCGGCTATGTGCGACACTAACCCCGAGAAGATCAACGACACAAAGGCTCACAGCACCAAAAGTCGCTCGTGATTTGTCGTAGTAGCATGTCGTCG